TTCATCATGGAAACGTATTCTGCAAACAAAGAGGAGGGGTTGGTTTATTTGGCGAGTATCCAAGAGTCAGACCGACTGCGACTCATACATGGGACTCAGGAACTGGTGTGATGTGAGAGTCAGGAGTGGCGGAAGGTAGTTTCAGGCTAACCTTGCCAAAAACCTCCTAGCAAACCTCAAAAACTTGCATCGATTCCTGTCCTAAAGAAAACCAACCAGGGCGATGCACTTTAGCAGGTTCAAACGGTCAGTAACTCACTAGTTCGGAGATGGCGGAAAGATTCAGTTTAGCCTTCACCAAACAGTTAAACAGCAATGTGGGTATTACCGGTAGGGAACAAGGTGACAGCACTGCTGTTTCATGGGAGAGATACCTAGTGACTACCCCAAAAAATCCCGGCAATAGTGCTGGGGAGGCTGCAGAAACTCACATCTGGAAAGTCTCCAAGTTGTGATGACATCAGGCCATCTGTTCTGAAACAGCGAGCCGAAGCTCTCTGTAGGCCCTTATGCGACCCGTTCCAACGCTCTATGGACTCAAGGAAACTTTCAAGGGAGTGGAAAAGAGCCATCCTTCCTACTATTTTGAAGGGTGAGGATAGGCGAAATGCCACCAGTTATAGACCACTAGTCCTACTCCTAATGGTATCAAAGTACTGGAAATTATAATTGATGATCACACCAGGGAACACCTTGACATGACTAATAGACTCCATGAAGTCCAACACGGTTTTGGGAAAAGCAGATCCTGTGTAACAGACCTACTATCAGCTTGAAACGATTGGACATCATGCTAGGATATGATTGTTCCAGTCCATGTGGTCTTCCTAGATTTTGAGAGGGCATTTGATACAGTTCACCATAACTTCCCATACACAAGATAACTCGGGCAGGTATAGTTAAGCCACTTTGGTCATGGTCAGTCGAGCCTGATCCTCTTGGCACGGTTTGTCATCAGGATTGTCGCAGTGTTCTATCCAAGGATCGCTGATGTTTCTGATTTTAATCAATCACGTACCATGCAGTCTAAGCTGCTATACGCTGATGACGTAAAGATATGGAGGGTGATAAAGTGTCCGGAGGACTCAGGTGGACTGCAGGCAGATCTAAAGCTTCTGGAACACTGAGCGGTGGCTTTCAACCTGAAAGGTGCAAAATAGTGAAATTACACAGGTGGACGCTGCAGAATGCAAGTTACACCCTGTGCAACGGGAGCTTGCTCTGCACAACGTCGGAGCGCGACTTGGGCTAGTTCCAACGGAAAATCATATCTATTATTATCATCTCTTTTCTTTTGAGGACGATACCGGAAGACTAACTGGTGAAAGTATCAACTCCATTCACAGTGGTAACAGTCTTAACACACCGCATACTACAAACAACATATAGTTAATCTCGACACTACTCTTTTCGGAGTGAACCAAAGCTACGACAGTAGAATGGCGAGACGAGCCACGCAGAAGTTTACCGAAGACCAGGAACATTTACTTCACAATCAAGAAGCGAGCAAAAGAAATCAAACTCCCCGGAGCAGTTGTCCATATCACTTCAACGGTGGTATGAGACCAAGGGAAAAATTGGAGGACACATCCGATGCTGTGAAAGCAGACCCAGAAATATAAGGAGGCAGCAAACTGAGGCTTTAATACGACCCCAAGCTTCGGTGACACTAGAGCGATGCAGCTCTGAGAATAATAGTCTGTGTCTCCCAAGTGTCCTGCCTAAATCCATTGAAAAAAACTACAACGGGCCGGTTCTATCGGAATCGGCCAACTAGTTCCAACATCAAGTCCCCCACCAGCAGACGGTTTCACGTCAACTACCCCACAACACTCTGAGGTTGTTAGACTCACTGTCAGTTGCCTATATAGCAATGTGAGGGGGCTGAGAGGGAAAGTAGGTGAACTTCGAAATCTCCAAGCACACCTTCAACTGAAAATAATCATTCTTACTGAAACGTGGCTAAACCCCACTATCGCCGACAATGAAATCAGTATAGGTGATATGGTACTGGTCAGAAGAGACAGGGATAATAAGGAAGGAGGGGGAGTTGCTATATACTTTGATAGGCAACTTAAATGTGTGCGCGCAACGGACCCACCACTTATCGAACTCCCAGACTCCATATGGTGTCATTTCACCGTAGGCCACACCAAGCACTTACTGGGTGGCATCTACCGATCTCCCACCTGTGGGGCAGAGCACAATCAGCTACTGCTCAGCACTATCACAGGAATACGAGATTTGGGCTACGACCAAATCACCATAGCTGGAGATTTCAATGCTCCATCACTGAACCTCGGCTCCGGGTGTGCTAAGGGAAAATTTGGCCGAAACCTACTGCAAACTATTCGAAACACGGGACTGACTGAGAATGTTGGAGACGACACTAGGTGGGGCCCTAGTGGAAAGTCATCAAAACTAGATTATATTCTAACTAGTGACCAGCTACTCGTCGAAAAGGTCCAGATCATGACTCCTCTGGGAAGCAGTGACCATGCAGTCATAGGTTTCGATCTTGTCCTCCGTGAGCGTTTGCAATGGGATGTTACGCGACCATGTCTGTGCTACAGCAAGGCTGACTATGCTGAAATGCGGAGGCTCTTGTCCGACGCAGACTGGCCCTTAGCATGGGACGACCTATCTGTGGATGAACACTGGGAAGTGGTAAAAAAGATTATCCATGCAGCAATCTCGGATACCGTCCCTTTAGTCACAACACAGCCTAAGAGAAAGACGTCATGGTTGAAGAGAGGCACGCAACGTATTCTGCAAGCAAAGCGGAGGGCTTGGTTTACGTGGCGTGTATCTAAGAGTCAGACCGACCATGATGCATACCTCGAACTCAGGAACCGGTGTAATGCAAGAGTTAGGAGGGACAGAAGGTCATTCCAGGCTAACCTTGCTAAAAAACTCCTATCAAACCCTAAAAACTTGTACCGATTCATGTCGGAAAGAAAACCGACAAACCAAGGGGCATGCGCCTTAGTAGGCCCAAACGGTCAATATCTCACTAGTCTGGAGATGGCTGAAACATTCAGTTCAGCCTTCGCTAAACAGCTAAACAGCAATGTGGATATTACAGTTACGGACCAAAATGGTGGCACCACTATTTCAGAGGAGGAAGACCTAGCGACTACTCCCCAAATAAACCCCGCAATAGTACTAAGGAAGCTACAGCGACTCATACCTGGGAAGTCCCCAGGTTGTGATGACATCAGGCCATCTGTTCTGAAACAGTGCGCCGAGGCTCTCTGTAGACCCCTGTGCGACTTGTTCCAACACTCAATGGATTCGGGGACCCTGCCAAGGGAGTGGAAAAGAGCCATCCTTTCTCCAATCTTCAAGGGTGGGGACAGGCAAAACGCTGCTAGCTATAGACCAGTAGCTCTACTCCCAGTGGTATCAAAAGTACTGGAAAGTATTATTGACGACCACATCAGGGAATATTTCGATAGGACTAATATACTGCATGAAGCCCAACATGGTTTCAGAAAAGGCAGATCCTGCGTCACTAACCTACTGTCAGCTTGGGACGACTGGACATCATGCTGGGACTTGAACGTACCAGTCCATGTGGTCTTCCTAGACTTTGAGAAGGCATTTGACACTGTTCACCATGACCTTCTCCTACATAAAATAAGACAGGCAGGCATAGGTGAGCCACTTCTGTCATGGTTGAAGGACTACCTAGCCGACAGGCAATTTTGCACTAAGGTTAACCGAGTCCGATCATCTTGGCACAGATCGTCATCAGGAGTGTCGCAGGGTTCTATCCTAGGACCACTGATGTTTTTGATTTTCATCAATGATCTACCACGCCGTCTGAGCTGCCCGACTCTCCTGTACGCTGACGACGTAAAAATATGGAGGGCGATAAAGTGTCCGGAGGACTCAGATAGGCTACAGGAAGACCTAAACCTTCTGGAAGACTGGGCGGTGGCCAGTGGCATGACTTTCAACTTGAAAAAGTGCAAAGTAGTGAAGTTGCGCACCTGTAGACTGCAGAATGCAAGTTACACCCTGTGCAATGAAAGCTTGTCCTGCACAACGTCGGAACGCGACTTAGGTCTAGTTCTAACGGAAAAAATGGACACAAGCGTAAATTACACAGGGGATGTAGCGAGGGCATATGCGGTCATACACTTTACGCATAGACAGTTAGGTGCACTCACTCCTGAGCTCTTTCTAATGTTGTACAAAACATACGTCAGGCCACACCTTGAGGTGCATAATATTATTGCACCCCCAATGCTGAGAAGAGATGCCAACCTCTTGGAAAGAGTCCAACGACGGGCAACAAAAGGAGTGGTTGGTCTCCGAAACAAACCATATGATGAAAGGCTGAAGAAATTAGGCCTGTTCACACTTAGTTACCGTCGGCTTAGGGGGGATTTGATTACTGCCTACAAAATAACAAATGACCAGAATCACCCAAACAAAGGTGTTCTGCCATTGAGTAGGTATAGGCTTCCACGTGGAAATCCCAGAAGGATAGCTCACCAGAGGGCAAGGACCCGGGTGCGCTCCCACTTCTTTTCACTGCGGGTTTGTCGTCCCTGGAATTCCTTACCGGCAGATGTAGCTATGGCACCGTCTTTGGACGCCTTTAAGCGAAGGCTGGACAACCATGCAGCGATACAAGGACTGCATCCAAATGGCCTATCTCCTTAAAATCGCATTTACCAATCAGGGTAGATAATTAAACTCGTCATTTTACTTCTTTACATTCTCTCCCGTCTTACTCTCCTGACAACTTATTAATATTATAATTACTATTATTATTATTACTATTACCGATATATATATTATTCTTCAAACTTCATGAGCTGACTGTTGTTACGTTTCCTATTTTCGTTTCTGTCTCTTAGTCTGAATAGCTTCACTAATTATATCTATTATTATTATTATTACTATTATTATTATTATTACTATCTCTTTTCTCTTGTCGACAATACCGAAGGACTAACTGGCGAAAGGATCAACTCCAATCACAGTAGTAACAGTCTTAACATACCTCATACTACAAACCACATATAATTAATCCCAGCACTACTCCCTTTGGAGTCAACCAAAGCTACGACAGTCGAGTGGCGGGACAAGCTACGCAGAAGTTTACCGAAGATCAAGAACCTATACCTCACAATCAAGAGGCGAGCACAAAGAAATCAAATTGGTTTATACTAGCTCGTAAAAACGATATTGGATATTGGATATTGGTTCGTACTACCTCGTAAAAGCGATATTGGATATCCATAACCAACTTGACTTTTGAATTAATGCGTTACACGGAAAAGCATCACAATGAGGAAGAGGACGATGTCGCAACGCTCATGTCTCATCTTTCCCGTTGCTAGATTGAGGCGTCTGATGAAGTCCTCGCGCTTTTTTCTAAAAAAACGTTTATCTGTTGATGCAGCAATATTCAAAGCAGCAGTGATTGAATATTTAACAAGTATGTTTCCATGTATATATGTGAATACTGATTTATAGAAGAAATCTGTGACATATCTGGAAGTTTAGCTCTTAAAGAAAAAAGAAAAATCATCACCCCAAGACATATTATGCTCTCTGTGGCTAATGATGTCGACATGAATAAAGTAAATCCTTTTCAATTGGAGTATTTTACGTGAGGTTTTAAACAGACACTATTGTTTTTTTGGTTTATTTTTTATTTCTTTTAGATGCTGACCACAGTCATATTTCCTTCCTCGGGATCCAAGATGTATTTGCCCCTTACAGATAAAAAGAATAGAGCATATCTCAAAGCTGCAAAATTAAAAGTAATCCACATATAATTGATTCAGAATTTCATTTATTTTCTAAGGACCCTCCGAGACACAAGGTTAGTCCTAAGAGTTGTTTAGGCAACTTTATTTCGTAGGTCTATGGATTTGGTGTTCCACTTGTAATGTCTGAAAAAATTATTAGTAAAACTGTTATCAGAGTCTTGAATGGAGACATAACGAAAGTACATGCAGACGCTGTCGTACACCCAACAAGTTCTAGGATATCTTTCCATGGGATCATTGGTATGTTGGTTTTCATAATGTGTAGTGTGCATTGAATGTAGTTCTAATTACATGTTATTTTGGCGATAGTGTAGTTAAGGTAAAACTTTTTAGGTTTAACGTATCCAATACCCAGTATCGCTTTTACGAGGTAGTACGAACCAGTTTGATTTCTTTTGCTCGCTTCTTGATTGTGAAGTAAATGTTCCTGGTCTTCGGTAAACTTCTGCGTGGCTCGTCTCGCCATTCTACTGTCGTAGCTTTGGTTCACTCCGAAAAGAGTAGTGTCGAGATTAACTATATGTTGTTTGTAGTATGCGGTGTGTTAAGACTGTTACCACTGTGAATGGAGTTGATACTTTCACCAGTTAGTCTTCCGGTATCGTCCTCAAATTAAAAGAGAAAAAATTAACGTACTTTCATTATATTGATGCAAAGGATGTTAAGGCAAGTAATCTTTGCTTTTGTATCTCCAGAAGTTTTGAATTGGTTTATTAGCGTTGTAAAGAATATCGGACGAACAGTTTATTAATTAGAAATAATATCTAACTTTTCTCAAAAGTTTTAGCTTGTCTATTCTCTCTTTTTTGTTTGTTCATAGACAGTTTTTCCCGGTTTCAAATGACAGTCGTCGTGAATTTGAGATAGTCAACCACTTTCTCAAGTGAAATAACTATATTTATACCGCAAATCCACACTCCATTTCTTTCCATTATTTTGTGCATTATTTCACTGCTGCTTATCTTTTCCTTCGTTTCACTTTTATATGCTCTAGGAAGTACTCTGCTAAGCAAGGGAGGTTCAGCTTTAGAAAATGCTGTCAGAAGTTGTATACAAAATGAAGGATTTCCCACTTATTTGGAAGGTAAGTACATATATGAGACTCTAAATGATCTTTTATCTCCCAAATTCAAATGGTTGTATTTTGGGAGCTGATTGATTCTCTGGGTAACCACAAGTCTTTATTCAATTTTAGTGCGTAAAACGCCTGCTTTCAACATCGGTGCTCAATGGATTTTACATTGCTACAGCCCGACTTGGCGTCAAAACTCGAACTGCATTGAAAGTGACTTGTCTGTAGCTGTTATGAACTGTCTAAAACTTTGCGAATCAGAAAGATTTTGCTCTGTTGCTTTTCCTTCTATAGGAAGTGGAAAGTAAGTGCTCTAGACATTTTACTCTAATATTTGCTTCACTTCTGCTTCTAATTTCGTACCTGGTACGTTTGAATCACTTTCAATTAATTCTTTTTTATGTTTAAAGAATGTTCACCTTAAACCTAGTGGATATATGTACTTCATTGGGCAAAATAAACTTTAAATTTGGCAAATCTCTCTAATAGTACATTTTCAAGGCTTGAAGTTCATTGAGTTTCTTCATACCATCACATGCCATACCGTTACATGCGCCGAATGGTGGGGTTTAATTGGATAGATTTTCATGCAACTATACCAGTCGAATTTTCCACAACGCCAACTTAAGTTTTATGAATAACCAATTGTAGATCAGTATACAGCAACAGGTTCCTCATTTGCGCTCACAATATAAGTTCTTATTACCAAACTATATACTTTCATTGAGCAGTTATAATATGAAAGGTAGTGTTTATAAATACAGTAACAACTTATGGAAAATTTAAATATGATGGATATGATTTTCAAAAAGCTGTTATTATTATAAAAGCAAACTAACTGTTTGTTGTAATTTTGTGGATAGTGAATGATGGTGCTTCCATTGGGAATTGTAAGCACATCCAGGTGACGGGTGTCATTTAGATTCCACTATCAGTCACCATCCACAGTCTAACCACTTACAAAAGGTAAATGGTACCAACTTACGCGAACACTTTGCCTTAGACAGCAGAAAGAATCACAAAATGTGCTTAACAAAAGCATGCATTTAAATGCCTGAAGCTGTCGTTTGCGAATTCACCTGTATGCAGAATTGCTTGAAATATGAAAATATGGGTAATTAAAAAATTTTCACTGGATGTGCAAAAGGAGAGGTACTTGAGCAACTAGTTATATTTAATAATTCCTTCCTAAGGCGCTACCATTACAAATCCACAAACATTATAATACAATAGTCAGTCAAGACAAAGTTATAATTAAATCTGAAACAACAATAAAGTGAGCAGAATTTAACAGTACTGAACTTGAAGGTGAAATGGTAAGGAATTTATTTTGAAAGTAACCTAAAAGTCTGCAGATTTACAGGTCAACCGGACTTATCATATGCGTTTGTTTAGTTCACATTTTCCAAAATTCCATTGATTATAACTAACACATACGTCAGTTATTGATTTTACCTGATGTGTCCATTGCTGGTACTGTTTGCTTGCATTTAAATAACTTTCGAAATAAACTGTATACCATTAGATTCAATACGTTATTGTTTCCAGTGTAATTATGACTTTGGTTTTACTGGCCTTTATATTATAATGTTTGTGGATTGGTAACTGTAGTACTTCAGAATGAGATTATCGAACATAATTGTTTGTTCACATCTTTCTTATTCTGAAAACATTTGAACCTGATTCCAATTTTCATTTTATAGAGCTGGGGTACCGAAACAACTAGCTGCACAAACGATATTGCAGACTTTGAAAAACTATGTAGATGCCAGATCCGGGAATACAAGTTTGAAAGTCATATACTTTGTACTGTATGACCGAGAATCAATAGTTGTATACACAACCGAACTTAATCGGCTCATCTAACTTTTTTATAGTCTTCTGAGTTAAAGTTTCTACTGGTACATATAACGACTTTTATATCTTTCCTCAAAACAGTTTAATGATTTTAATTAATATTGCGACCATCATATCATGTTTACAAAACTTGTACTTTTCTTCCAAATTTGCACATTTTTTCTGAGAATGCAAAGTTTACCTTGACCTTTCCGTTGAATATAAATTACAGAAACGTATAATCTCTTGTTTCAAAAAATGGAGATAAATCACAACACTTCCTTGAAGAAACTTAGAACATATAGTAAGGAAGTTAGCTATAGTCTATTACTAGACAGGAATATGAATGGTTTTGTTTAACTTTTGTAGACCTTTTGAAATGTATTACAATTAGATCCGTCTTCACTGTCATAAAATATTTTACTGATGTAAACACAATTGTAGACTAGTTTTATTTTATGCAATGTTTGACAGACTGAATGCACACACATTGACGAGATTATTTGGATACATTTTCACGATTATACAGCTAATTGATCGAATTCTCCGAAACATCTCTTCGCCGAACTGTTTGTTCTTACTTCTATGTATGGATAGATAGTTTTTACGTCATAAAAAGTAATATTTAGACAGGTTTCCCTTTCAGTTGTCTCACAGTGTTGTACAATATTTATTGATGACCATGTTTCCAGCACAACCTCACTTAGTTAACTAGCTCACTAGTTTTCTAGTCTGCGTAAAGAGGGAGGGTTGGGCGTAGGGCTAACTAACACACCGCTAAACCTATCAAACCGGTAGAGAAATTTCAACGCACAGAAAATATATTTAATTCATCATATTACCATAAAACGGGAAAATAAACAGTAGGATTTTGAGATAAAGGTTGAATTCGGTTAGCCATAGAACCTACTATGCTGCCCGGTTTGTGATTATTAAAAAAGCCAAAAATATGCTCCACTGCAAACCTCAGGGTGGCACAAGTGATTATGTCAAATCCTATACTATTTATTAATTTTTTGTGTGTGTGGACACACATACATAGGGAGGAGTATCGTGCTTTGCATGTGAGGGTGGGAGAGCATATCTCAAAATGCTTAGAAAAACAAGTGAATTGAGGAAAAGCGATTGACGAAGGTGTCAGACTACCAATTTCGTCTATAGCTAAACATCTAATCGAGGTGAACCATAAGGTTGCCGTTAACTCGGCCTTTAAGGTCATCTACAAAAATGGTCGAGGGGGCTTATTAAAATATGCTAAGGCTATAGCTATTCATAAACTTAAGCCCCCCCCCCTGTGTATTCAAAAACAGTTTATTATTACATAAACCTAATTTGGTTATCCTTATTTGATTGGATTACCAAACGTTATGTTAATCATTCTGAAATCCTTTTTTTCTCACTTTGTTCAATTTAATTGCTCTTAATTTTTTCATATAAATCTACTTGACAAGTAAATATGCGAACAGATTGTTCGAAATGTATATCGCAAATACATCGCATTTTTCAGATAATCTCCGTCTTCTAATAACACTATCCAAATATATTAAAAATAAGAAATCTTCAAATAACAACAACTTTATTTTTCGATCGAATTGGGAAGATGACATGACCCAGTGGGCTGCGGATAGACTCCAGGAAGCCAGTCAGCCGATGTGTCTTCTCTCGACGAAAGCAGGTATAAGAATTGGGAAGTGGAATGTCCGTACAATGTACGACGCTGGCTGAAAAGGCTGCCCGGCTGTCAACGAAATGCAAAGATATGGCCAAGAAGTGCTGGGTGTCTATGAGAGCAGATGGAATGGGTGCAAACTGTCAGAATTGTCAACCCGATAGTCATTAGTCTACTCCGGTACCCCAGACAACAACCATGAGCACACTGAGTGACTCTAATGATGTCACTAGTGGCAGTCAGATCCCTAATGCAGTGGTAACCAATTTCATCCAGGAACATGACAGCAAGTTCCAACTCAAAAGGAGGGAACGAAGGTCACAATAATCCAGTACAATTCACGGTGTCACAAACAACGCGGAACAAGAAAAGAAGCAAGATTTCTGTAGACAACTTCAAACGCCAATGGAAATCTACCCAAATGGAGACATAAAAATCCGCGTGGGCGATATGAATGAAAGCCGAACTGGAAGCTGATAATACAGGTCGTGAGGCTGTTGGAGTAATAAATGAAAACGGAGAATTATTCGCAGACTTCTGCGCTTTAAATAATTTGGTGATCGGAGGCAGCGTGTACAAACACAAGGATATACACAAAACAACATGGGTTTCGCCTGACAGGCACACAACGAACTGCATAGATTTCATCTCAATGCTGTTCAAGGAAGTGGAGACGCAGCCTGCTGGATACAAAGTCGAGAAGGGGAGCATACGTGGGCTCAGACCACCATCTAGTTCAAGGAAACTTCAGGATGAAGCTAGAATCCCTCAAAAACAACTGGAGGTAGGTCACTGTAATTTAGGTTCAACTTCCGGGAACTGAAGGACAAAACTACAAGGGATGCCTTCACTACAGATATTAGAGTAAAGTTGGAGACACTACGTGACACCTTTGTGGAAGAACATTGGAACTAACTCTCTGAAGTTGATGTTCAAGGAAACGTGTACAAATGTTCTAGGAAGAAAGAAAAGACAAGACAAGGAATGGCTCTCAACGGACACCTACCTGGAAGCTAATAGAAGAGGGGAGAGGAGGCTGATTAAAGAGATGGCTCAATAAAAAGATGGGCGACAGAAGGAGAAGCTGAGTTCAATGCACATTGTCGAAGAAGAGTGCCAGGAAAGACGAACGACAAATTTACGATACACTGAAGCAGGACAAGCAGTCCTCAGGTAAAAGAGACCTCAGGACGTTATATCGGACAACCAAGTCTCTATCTAGTAAGAGAATAACCCAGATGATGAAACCAATAAAAGATGGTCAAGGGAACCCGATTACCAAGGAGCATCAACAAATAAATTAATGTCCTGATCACTTCAAAGGACTCTTGGATCAACCATAACTTACAACTCGCCCAGAGATGCCATCAACAACACACACAAAACTGCCAGTGGACACCAGTCCTCCAACGAAACCTGGAATACTAAGTGCAATCAAGCCACTGAAGTCCGGAAAGGCAGGACTGGACGGAATTCCCGCCCTCTCCCCGCCGCCGAAGTACTGAAAATGGACCCATAGACTGCCGCAGATGTGCTGACGCCATTACCGCAGAAGATTTGGAAAGAAGGAAAGGTACCTACCAATTGGAAGAAAGGCTGGCTACCTCGTCAAGCTATCAAAGAAGGGCGACTTAGGCCTGTAAAAGAACTGGCGTGGAGTCATGCTCTTGTCCACAACAAGTAAATTAATAAGTTGCATCATCCTGGAGAGAATAAAGGATGCATTGGATACAAAACTCCCCCAGCTGGAACAAGCTGACTGAATTCAGGAAAGGCAGATCATGAGCTGATCGAATAGTATCTCTGTGGATCGTCATCGCAGAACAAAGAATATAATGGCAGTCAAACCTCTACCTAAACTTCATCGACTTGGGAAAGGCCTTCGGCAGACAGCGTTGACCGAGAAGTAATTTGGAAACTACTTCAACAGTACGGCGTACTTCAAGTCTTTGTCAACCTCATTCAATAACTATATGACAATCCCACGTGTCAAGTGATCCACAACGGGAAACTCAAGGAGGTGTTTGAAGTGCATACAGGAGTAAGACCAACTGGCTACCAATGAAATTCCTAACTGGTGGAATGGATTATGCATCAGACTGTTGGGGACGAGGAGTCAGGAATACGCTGGACAACAGATAAGAAGACTCTGGAAGATCTGGATTCCGCACGTGAGTGATGTGTGTCTAACGTCACACAAACTCAAGGATTTGGAGGCAGGCGAAAACCAACAAATGGCTGACGAAGCAGGTGGCGAAGACAGGACTCCACGTGAACACAGAGAAGACGGTGATGAAGATAACCAATCAACAGCAACAACAACCAGCACCAATCACCCACCATTAACGGGAGGGATTTAACAGAACTTAGCTCTTTCACTTATCTAGAAAGCATCGTTTCAACCACAGGCGGAATCGGAAAGGCAAAATACTCCTTCATCAACCTGAAACCAGTTAAGAAATCTTCTACACTCAGTATAAGGAAGAAGATTCGCATTTTTTATCTAAGTATAAAACTTGGGCACTGTGGTAGAGTATAACTGAATTACGGGTAAGATTTTATTTTGATAAATCACACAGTGTTATACAGTAATATTGACTGATGACGTTTCCAGCACAAATTATTGCTTATAATCATATCAAGTCATTCACACAACTTTTTACTTCATTAATACACATGAGTAAAATTGATTAGAAATTTGAATAAAAATCAATATAAGATAAAGTACATTCAGAAGACACATACATACAATTAATACCTAGGTTACACTTATTATAGCTAATAGCTTTGATAGGTTGGTAAAAATTGCTATGCGGGTTGTACATGTTCTGGTAGATTTATCACCCCTTGAGTTTAAGCTTTCAAACCTGTACCACGAGCAAATTCATAACTTGCAAAATATTGCAGATGTTTCTGTTGTTTCTCCTCACAAATATTTTATAGTCTGTTTCTCACTTTATTTATATGGTTTGTGTAATCACAACTATACCTTATGACTTGTTTGCTTTGACGATATGCATTAAACCAAACAGACTCTTTATCTACATACATGCAAGAGAATCAAATGAATATCGCTCACAGGCAATATGCGGTAGATGAACTGCCAGAAGATCTTAGAATGCTTGAGACAATTTGAATTCCACTTGATATGAAGCACTTCTGATATCAGACGTTTTTTTGTGATTTCTGATTTCTAATTCTCTGCACGACCGATGGTGATTTCTCGACTGAAAGATTAAGTACCTAGACTAGCCACTTGTATCTACCAATTCAACTGCGCTTGTGGAGCGAGTTATCTCGGCCGTTGCTTTAGGAACTTGATTTTTCGTGCTCGAGAACATCTCCCAATATGACTAAGTAAAAGTGTAGTAAAAACCAATAACAGTTCGATATTAGATCATCTTGTGCAAACCGGCTACAAAGCCAGCGTTGAAGAATCCTTTTCTAACATCTACCAGGTGCATAATAAATTGCCAAAAACATCGAAGTACCGCATGCTGCAAACAGCAGAGGCTATCGCGATTCGCCTCAACCAACCATTGCTCTGTGTGCAAAAGAAACAAGTCAAGCCCCTACTACTGCCTTGGCCTTCAGTAGAGACTATAAATTCATGAATCTGTAATATTATCTTTCCTAATTTTTCTGACATTCAGCTTATTTTGTGTTGATGCTATTCAGCTGTAATCTATTGATATTAGTATTGATTCGATGTTATTTAAACATTAATGCTCTTCATAACACTAATTCATTCATTCACTGTAATGTATATATAACTGTAGAGCCTGACGATGAAGTTAACGAAAAGAGTACTCTTTGTTCAGTTTCTACCAATTCTTTTGACTCTGTTATTTAAAACAGAAAAACACTTGTTTCATAAAGTGTTTTATTCAAATTTAATTCAATGTGCATAAATCAATTGGAAGGAAGTTGCATTAAATGCTCCACAAAATCGATTTCTAAAAATTAAAACAAATGCAAACATTGTTAAGTGAATCTTCATTACTTCAGAATTATGAAGTAAATTTACTTATTTGATTAGTAATAAATTTCTATCGAGTCGATGATATCATTAATAGATTTAAGTCATCTACAGTAGTTTAAAATTGCTTTTTACAGAATAATAAATGAAATCTATGCATTTAATATAGAAATAAACTCAGATAAGTATTATCAGCTTGTTGGGTAGTTTTACAATTATAAGGCATATGAAGATGAAAGACAAAAAGCCCTTTTAAATGGTTCTCATTTCGCAGATTCAACTATGACATCAGCATACTGAATTGGGCATGGAATTTTTTTAGTATTTCTTATTACTAAGCATCTAAGTAGGTTAAACAAGCAAGATATTTTCTAATAGATTTAAGTCGTTTATAAATGACGAACCAAATAAACAGAAAGCGCTTGTTTATTTGAGAACGTGAGGGTAAATAATTCGTATGCTCTGTTTGATCTCTGTTAAAGAGTAAGTTTACAATTCAGCATGTGTTTCTTGAGAACTTTGCGATGCGACTACGTCGACATTACACTTAAAAGTTATTTATTATCGTAGCACTAACACTTAGAACACAAAGTTTTTAAAGTCTAGCTTTACTTAATCTTTCATTTAGGAAAAGAGATTTGCATCAATCAGATGTGATTTGTATTCCAGAGGAAAGTTTTATTTCAATTATACCATGGGACGAACAAAATTGCGACTTCATCGTTTCATCGATGTAAAACATTAAGGACTATTCATCTTATTATCATGTAAACGTAAATTTCTAGCATAGGTTAACCTGAAAGGACAAGTGCTTTAGCTAATGTATGTCGGATGAATCATTTAAAATGTAAACAAGTCCAACCACCATGACAAAGTGGCAGTCAGGTTCATAATGATAGAAAACAAAATATTTTTGTGGCAGAATATCAAAAATTATGGGCTGATGTAAAAGGAAGCCAAAGTCCAGCAGCAGTTATATCGAAAACTAATCGGTTCTTCAATCCAGCAACTCAAACTCAAAATGTGTCGACTAAGTGTTACTTGTTTCACTAACTTGATAACCACCTATAGCCTAATAATTGTGCAGTGTGAGACCTGAACTCAAGAAGGAATTTATCTTCCACAAACTTGCCCTGCTTAGTGATGAAACTTCCAGGTAACCGCAGTGAAAAGTGAGAAACAAGGAAATATCTAGTACGAAAAATTCATAATATTGTTTGTCGTCTAAATATTTCATAACTGAAGTGTTAAAAAAAATTTGAACTTATAAATAAACTCCGACTTCTTACGAAATTTAGTTGCTAATCAGTAATGAAAGTAAAATTTCCTATCACACTAGTGACTGTTTCTTAAACAATAGTATCACGTGATTCGGCCTTGGAAAGATATTATACAACTAACCTACAGATTTTAATCAGCTCGTATGGGTAGACAGCTGATGCCATAAACGACCTTTTAAAGATATCAGTATCATATTGATACTGAGAGACACTTGTGAATGAAGTTAAGAGTTCTAAAATAAATATCTTAAAAATTCAGGAAGTCACAAAAATTACTTTTCAAAATTATGAAGTTGGCGATTAGAATGTGATCAAAACAGGTGAATTTCTCCATGATAAGTGTAGATTTATTAACAATTAGACATTTATTGATTTCTGACAGCAACTTACCTACTTCTGCTTCTGACTTCACTGTCTATATTTGTAAACTGTATTTTCTTCCAACTCAAAGGATCAGGTTCTGGACGCCATTGTGTTGTGAAATGTGCATGTACTCTGGCTTTTTCGATAACACGTTCGTAATTAGACTGCCTGTTCTCACTTAAAAACATTTCACTCGTATTGGATTTAAAACTCCTCAAGGTATTTAAATTTCGATCAGTTATAAGTTTCGCTGTTAAAAGTTTATCAGAGGTCATTCTGGGGGGAGCTGATTGTATCATTGTATTCATAGGATAGCTCTGAAACATTGAAAACCGAAGATAGCAGGGAGTATTTTATTGAAGTGATATAGACGATCAGCCAGAGTGATGCATAATGCCAAATCACTTCATTAACTGGCACCATGTTTTCATTCGACAATTTTCAATGCCTTCCTTAACCTAATTCCACTTTTATTGGTACTGCTTTCCTTGAGCAGCGATTTTTTGTGAGCAAAACATATCCAAAACATTTTCTGATTAATCTGTTACGTCAGCACGAAAAATGTCTACACTCGATTACCTATAAATTCTCACTTTTCTCTTAACATCTCTGTCTTTTATCGAGGTGGAAATGAAGCCTCTACTTGTTTCTTCCAACTACAAGATACATTGACAAGAGCATACATGCATCAAATGAGTAACTTGAAAAACGTTCATAAAATGTAGTTGGCCGTCACTAATGAACGACTAAATATTCAGATAGACAGAAAGATTTCTTATTACCTTCTCGTATACTTTTTAAAACCGTAAGTCGACGATTAGATAAACCTTGAAAAAAAGAACTCATTAGTAGGTATGAAGTAGTTAGTGAACATAAGACAAATTACCTTGCAGTCAAGCAGGAGAATAATGAACAAAAGTTACTATTCACGTACCAAACAGTAAAGCTGAGCTTATATAACCTACAACTTTGTATATTAGTCAATATCAACGCCTCATCTGGTTATATCTAGCCGCCTAGCAAGAAAGAATTCTGAACAAAACAAGAAGAACATGCAGTGTACCATATACTGACGTAATTACATTTTGATGATTCTTTTCAACTGCGGACAACCATGGGCAATTTTATATCAATGTAAAAAATATTCAAATACTGCATGCAACTGAAAAGAGGCAATGAAATTTAATGGGATCAATATATCCTGCACCATATGTTCTTCTTGCTTTGTTCAAGTTTATCAAGGAAAATAACTGTACCAAAATGCTATTTTTACTTAGTCATACTATGACTGATTTTGAGGCGTGAAGATTTTATCGCATGCTAATTGTCTCTACATTAAAAAAATGGTGTCACATTATATCCAGAAGCCAGGTTTCAGTAAACGTATTTATGATATTTAAGCACACACCACATAATAGAGTATGAAGAATGTGAAATAATTGGTAAACATTGTTAGTGATGCTCATAAAGTTATTGATCCGACTTTCAAGGAGTTATATTTAGCATAAAACATGATCACACATGTGAGTCATTTGACCTTACTTATTTATTTTCAATAAAATGTGAGAAATTGTTCAGCATTGGTAAAAGCAGATATTGATTTTCACTCAGCAATAAATAGAAAATGCACTATTTATGTGCGGAAAACCAAAGGCAATTTGACAGGAGGAATGAAAATTTGTTGATAAATGAAAGTTACAATATATCTACTGAAAAAATTAAAAACGAATTGTACTGAAATCTTTAAGTGAATAGAAAGTAATGTTGAAATCACTTTGAAATGCCCATTGACTGACTAAGTTCGATCGAAACGATTAGTTTCTGTCGAAATGTCAGCTGCTAGCGGGGAGAATTCGACAATATTTCACGACTGACATACTGGTGCTTGAAAACATTCATTTATCGATACGAGCTAAGGACAAACAACAAATGGTTATAAAACAAGATTCAATCAATTTACAGAGTTTTGTACTAGTCTTCTGTTGAATGCCCTGCATATAGTGATATATATTGGGCGATTTGTGATGGTAAATAAACTTCAGTGAATTAACGATACAGAATGGAAAGAGCCATGACTGTCCTAAAGCTTCCATTTCCTGCAAATGATCTTCTCCATGCCACTCTCGGATAGTGAACCTATCGCTTTCTACTCCGGCTGCACTCGAAGTCTAGTGGCAGGAATAACATCTAGCTACCAATCAGGGAAAGTATGTACCTTGCAACGATCTGAACTGTCCTACTTTGGCACTGTAAGAAAAAGCCACTGAACGTAGATGCAGAAAGATAATAACTATTTTGACTACAGGTTTATTTGACCAGTTATCCATTTCGTGTCAAAAAATGTAGCAACTAGTTTGAAACGTAAGTCCTGGGATTTAAATAGCAAAGGTAAACCATTTCTTCGTCGACTTTAATGATGAGCGGTGTAGCGTGAAGTTAGTCCGATAATCTGTCTGCCTGTTTTTGACGTAGAACTTTGCACATATCAGCGGCAGTTCAAGTCGCCACACTCCATGTAGCACACAAAGCAAGAGAAGAAAGTAGAAGAAATGCATAATAGAGACAGTAAACAGAGGTGTGAGACAAAGGAGTAGTAACGAAGAACAAAACAGTTTCATTGGAGATCATAAGTCACAAGGAGTGGATGCATCTGCGCTAGCCAGCGATTGAGAACGATTTTGAGCCAGGTCACCGATAGTTTCCAACCAATAGTTTTTACCGTTCCGAGGACCCCAGCCAGTCGGGAAGTCCACACCTTCCTACGTCGCTTAGACTAACTGTTGCAGATTTCATTGATTGGTGCCATTTTTTGGTTTGACCACCACTGGCTAGCTCTTTTCCAGCCTAACTCTATATCAGCTAGTATTGTTCGTCGAGGAAGGCGATGACTAGGTATACGTAACACATGTCCTAACCATCTCAGTCTATGTAACTTCACAACCTCTTCGATTGATTTCCCCTCCTTACCTGGCACTCAACCAGTGCCTAACCTCAATATTGCTCACCTTATTATACCACTTCACACGGGAGATAGAACGCAGGCATCTATGATCAAAGGCAGCTAATCTTTTCATGTCTTCCACTCTCAATGGCCAGGTCTCACTAGCAGCCATAAAGGAGGATGGAGCGGACTGATGAGACATGTACAGTAATGTGCATTTTCTGACTTGAGACTCTAACTTTTCCAAAATCCCTTCCTGAAGAACCACGGTAGCACGACCAAAAACTAATGACAGTGGCTCTGGTGAATTCGTTCCATGTTATCCTGTATATTATGAAAATCTTTGTTGGTCTATGTTCCCTAAATTGCATCCATGAGTGTCTATCGTGCCACCAATTTTTTTGTTCACGCGCCGTGTGTGAAATTTTGAAGAGTGACTACTTTTACTGATACATTTCTGTACAAATACCTGCACCAATTAGTTAATCGGTAAGTCACTGGACCTGCTCGATTTCATATTTTAAGGAACTTTAAATAGTTAATTAATAAGTAACACCTAAGATTTTTAAATTTACTTGTTCTAGTAACAACTGAACTTCGTTTTCAGAAATTTGCGCCAAAATGTGGTTAGGGCCAGAGAGAGGATAACTTCAGTGTTTCAATATTTAATGAGTACACAGTCATTTTACTATTCAGGGGTATTTATTTTCATCAAAATTTGATGTTTAAACTCACTCAAGTTAGGTACAGATTCATATGGTCAGATAAACCATCAAGATCATTATCAAATGACCGTATAAAAGAAACAGAAACGTCAGAGACTTATGAAAGTGTTCTAAAAAAGAATTACTCCGATCTATAGGAATTACTGTTTACACTCCAACATATCAAATCATCATTCATTGAGTGCCGAAATTTTCGCTTTCTGAAGTTTTGTTTCAATTCTTGTGTCAGTATGATATATTAAAATTCACATATTGGGAGATTTTATGCAGATAAGACTTTGTACCCTCCTTCTGTGTTATTTCGTAAACATCAAAATGAAAATTTTCTCAATACTGTAAGTGGACCAGCGTTTGCAGTAGGCGAGTTAGACCATCGTTATGGGGATGCATAAAGTGAGTACTTGTGCTTCATAGTTTTCAACTGGTAAATTTCTAATACGGTAAAAATTCCAGTAAATTTTAGACAGACCGTAGTGTGCAGGTATTTACTTAGATTCTCCACGAGCAAATCATGTATAATATGGATCTACCATTTTAAAGCAGGAATATTGAATTCGACAAAAAAACAGCGAAATAAAAGCACCTTAAAACAAACAGCAAAAAGTTAATTATGTACCGATGGAAAAAACGCAAAATAATTATACGTTGCTGAAAGACGTCTGCTTACATTACCTTATTGGTATCAATGTGAATATAATCGCGTCCAATAGGAGAACTGAAGTGATTCGCAAGATGTTCAGCCTAATTTTATGGTAATACTAATCTTTATTAGAATTTACTGCTTCACTTTCTCTCAGCAAACATTTCTCATTGACATGTTTCGTTCCAACTGACTTCTTCAGTCGACATTTATCCAAGTACTTGTTCATTTTCCGGCTGGCAGGTAAAAATTCTTTTTGATTCCACAGAATGCTTTTTATTTTCATACTCCTCCCACGGTTTTCTTGAAGAACGTCTATCAACGGATAGAGTCTTGACTTTATATATGATTCATTCCTCAGAACTCTATCTACTTCACTGTTCACATGAAATAATTCTCTGTCCGTTTTCTTCTATGATTTTCAATGAACATAATCTCTGTAACCTGTACCTGGAGTTTTCGAAAGGTGTCAGCACAAATTCTATCTTTTAGTTCTCTTGAGACTTCTGCCAGAAGACCAATATCCATCGTAAAAGAATTCTCATAACATGCCATTTTCAAATTTTGTTGTGTCAACTGGATGATATTAGCTTAGTTCGTACTCCCAGTCTTCCTAGTAAGAGTATAATTTTATAAATCCGCTCAAAATCGCCAATAGTGATAGCTTCGTGTCGTGTTTAAAGGTTAACCTTTAAACACGACATTAAATGTCGAATATCTAATTTTTTTCATTATGGATAAGGCTTTATTTTGACAAATCACGTTGTGTTGAACAGTTAATTAAGTGACCAAATATTAAATCATTCAATATTACTGTACAGCAGTGTGTGATTTATCAGAATAAAATCTTATTCATAATGGAGTTATACTCTATCATAGTGCCCAGGTTTTATAATTATGTCTAATTTTTTCTTCTCAGTTTAAAATAAACCAGATAAACTTCTGACGTCAGCTTCGTCAAGACGTTTGAGTGGTTCATCATACTTAGTGAACTTCTACGTTGTGATTTCCATCAACCACCCACTGTAATTTTTATAGATTTGAAGAAACGGAAGACAGCTGATTTCGAAAGGTGTACGCAATGTTGCACCCGCTTAGATCACACAGCTGCAATATTTATAAATAGTTCCTATAGCTGTCCAGTTAATGAAGGTAATAACAATGCTTGAAATATTAATAAAAAATTCTCAATAGTTCCACAGAATGCGAAATAAGTGTATTTACGTAGGCAGAGCAGTAAACTTTGAATTCCACGGATAAAACTGTAAGTGGGAATGGGTTAGGATATCGGTGGCTCGAGTGAATTTGAAGGCCGTGCAAGTGGTTATATAACTTAGGATTATACCTCACTCCATATTTCGCCATATGATTATTTACCTACTGATTTTAATAAGTCGATACTTCGTTTGGGCTCCAGTAAAGTGGTGATTATTCAGGCTTCTGGGTGGAAGTACAAGTGCCTTATACAGTCTTGAAAAAACTTCCTCTATATAAGCACTGTCTACGTGTGAAATGAGGCAGAGCCAGCAACCTGGATGAAGATCTGAAATTTCTAGCAAAGGTAATTTGACCGGAACTCTGGTATCTTAGAGCAAAAATAGTGCCAGGTATACCCCGTTCTCCATGGTGGAAGTCTGCAGACGATACCATGTAGGTTCTCAGCGAGATGAAGCTGAAACAGCACTGCAGTGGATCACAGACCTTAATGAATAGTGGGCTCGCTGTTACTATTAACCTTTACTCTGTACACTGGTATAATCATTCATATACATTCCCATCTTTTTCTGATGCAATACTTATCATCTTTTATTTGGTTTCAAACACTATAAATCCTGTATTTCGGGAACTCAAGATTCAGCCATGAATCAGCTGCTTACCCATGTATTATCTTTATGAAACGTATTATTTTTCTATTTGATCCATGCGAACACAGTTTTTATTTTGATTTTAAAGGGAACACTCCGGATGATTCTCAGGTGTTCTACGTCTGTGCTTGGTTGATTTTGTTTCTTAGCATGTCGGTTTGCCCTAGAAATCTTGATACTGTATAGCTGCCCTACAGCATTATTGGGGTTTCCTGGTTAGGACTTATGAGAGTCACAATCATCATTACATTGCGACGTGCTGCTACGCTGTCAGGGTATAATTTTTCATGACCCTTGGAGTAAGAAGTTTAGCAAAGTATACAAAAGAACGTAGGAAGCAGTTTAGATGATGTTGCCTTGGTGTCGCCGACCAGATTTGTGCGGTGAAATTAAAATGATCTGGTTTATGTCGCCTAACTAGGTGCATCACAGAAAATTTCGTTTGCAGCAGTGGAGATCTATTTAACCCCTTTTAAAACAACGTTCTTCAGATTCAGGCGGAATCTGATGACTTTCGATAGACTAATTAGTCCCCACAAGTTTTCTCAAGTTCATTCATCGCTGAATCTATCCATTCTCATAAGACGTCAGGTGGTTGTTAGAGCGAAATCACTTAGAGAATAATTCAAGCATCAAAAACTTTGGTCATTTTTCGGCCTACCTGCTGCTTGCATTACTTCGAATATTTGGCCACTACAAACTGGCAGCCAACTCTCAGAAGCAGTAAATGTCCAACTCTTACTAAACTGGACCTCACACTGTAACTCAAAGACTTACAAAAACATTGTGTATTAACCAACGCGAAAAACCGGAACACAGGTTGGCGACTCAGGAATCCTTTATTCTTACGCCAATATGTAAACAACAATAAGGTTATTACACAAGGTCTAAGAATCACTATCATAATAATTAGTCACAATAATACTTCTGATAGTTTTTTATCTTCTACTGAACAGCGAACGATGAGACGATGACTGCTGGATTGATGACCCGCGAAAAATATGGAGAAGTTGGGTTTGGGCAAACAACCATGAATTGACCGTCCAATTTTCAACTGTACTTGCAACATTCTAAGCATTTCTACACGGGACTATAACGTTAGCTCACACATACTATAAAATTTAGCATAATGGGACTACTTAGTTAGTTTACCAAAATAATCATAGTTACTACACAGAATATATATACGTATATATATTTATTCACCACCCCTTGAGTACTCCATGTCAATGTAGTTGAAGTTTGAACGATCAATTCATGGTTGTTTGTTCAAACACAACTTCCCCAATTTTCGTGGAGACATCAATCAGCCAGTCATCGTCTCATCGGTCGCTGTTCAGAAAGAAGTTAGGAGAAAACCGTCAGAAGTAATATCGTGATTCATTATTGTAATATGTGTTCATAGACCTTAGTTGTAAAGCTTCGTTTTAAAGTTGGCTATATGTTGGTGTTGGAATAAATAATTCTCGAGTCGCGAAACCGGGTTCTGGTTCTTACGTCCGTTCGTCCTAAGCGTTCCTGAGAAGCTTCGAGGAACAGCGTGAGTCCAGCGTAGCGAGAGCTGGGCATTAACGGTTTATGAGACGTAGCTGACACTCAACTTGATTTCTTCTGTGTCGCTGTCGTTTGTCTTCTTTTTTCTCTCACCATTTTAGCTTCCATACGACTTTTTGAATGGGATTGAAGTATGTGGATATTTGACCACTTACAGTGACAAATGATCTGCGAACATTATTGCTCCCATATCTCACAAATGCCTCGTGAATTACGCATTATCTTCCTACTGCGACGCAACCTGGATTACAGTTGTGGAATGTGCCTTTATACCAGCGAAAATGTATTAATTTTTAATACTTCGCGATTGTAATTTATAATATAACTGATCGTGCATGTAAAAAATGGCTTTCATTTCTTGTAAACACCTGTTTATAAGAGAATATGAACTGTTATTAGTCTGCATTGGGTACAATTCACTTTTGATGTTACGATGAACATGCTGACACAATTATCTAAGTGCATCACTTATTTTAAATTATTGCCCAAATTGGATATGATTAAAAATAAGGCTTAATGCCATACACACTAAAGTTATATTGGGGAATGACATCAAGCTTTTTTTCCCAAGTATTTGTGATCGATCCAAAACACACTTGGCTGTTTTTGTTAATGCGAAAACAATATTTCTATATTTCTTGATGTGCTCCATTGAATGACTAGCTATCCCATTGTTTCCGCAAACCATCGACAAAAACGGCAGCAAACATATAATTTCACCATAAGCCAAATTTATGTAATTTAAATAACTTATCCATGCCTGTACAACTGGTGTGTCCTTAGTAGATAGGAATACACATGTATTTTATTATATTATCATTACTTAATATGCCTACTAGTCGTATGTGTAATTTGTCATATTGATAATGCCTATCAAGCTGACGTCCCCCTTGTACAAAAATGAGGATATATTATTATTAACTAGAGTAAGTATGTTCATGCCCAAAGAAATGATCGGTTTCTGCTCCAAAAATAAATTTTTATCAAGCATAATGCTAGAAGGAGGCGAAGTCGTAATAGTGGCGCCACTGGTAGGAATCATCCTATGTCTGCTTCGGTATTACGTGGCATTCTTGTAGTCTGCCTTCGGGGATATGATATGTATACAGGGATTTGTCAAACGCCAGCTCGTTGTGTCTTTTGCATCTCGCCTAGTTCCGTTTCACCTGCGGCAGTAAGAACCATAGCTGAGAACTTTGTCGAATACAATGGTTGCACTAGGACGCGCTAACTCGACGCAGTAATGGGAAACACCTAAATGTCAAAGCAGTTAGCGAAGTGCACACTATGTTATAAAAGCATTTAATTTACGATGCGGTATACAGAAAAGCAATCAACATGTCAATCACGTCTCATAAACCATTAATGCCCAGCTCTTGCCACGCCGGGCCTCTCGCTGTCCCTCGAAGACTTTCAGAAACGCTTAGTACTAACGGACGAAAAAACCAGAACACCGATTGGCGACTCAAAAATTCTTTATTCTAACACCAACATATGAACAGCAAAATAGCTAACGTCTATGAACAAATATTACAATAATAAATCACGATATGACTTCTGACGGTTTTTGATCTTCTTTCTGAACAGTGACCGATGAGACGATGACAGTCGTATTGATGCCTCCGCGAAAATTGGGGAAGTTGGTTTTGAGCAAACAACCATGAATTGACCGTCCAGTCTTTAACTACACTGACACCACATGTGTGAAAATATGTACCATTAGAACGAGATATTATTTTCTAAAAACTAGGCGATTTCGTTTTACCGTGGAGGATAGGTATAATGGCCTTCCGAGAACTTCGTTCTCCTTTCCAAGCGCCTCCGCGTAAATTTTAAGAGGTTGCCGTTACTTTCGCGGCACTACCCATCTCTTCAGTTGCTACAGGCTATATGTGACGCTTTTGTGGGCGGGCGGTGTCAGGGCACATAATGATGCATTTTGTGCCTGCTGCTCGTGGACAACCGATAGCACCGCGACTTCTGTAGGCACTTTTGCAATGGAGCATAGTTGCGCCCGTTATGCTTTTCTTTCTAAATAACAACAAGTTTCGACTTACACGGATGGTTCTTTTAACAGCTTTTAGTGGTACAGCCTATCGTCGGTAGCCGAATTCAATAAGGTGGTCTTCTCTCTTCACTTGTGGTAGGCTTCCCCTTTTGTATTCTCGGAGTCAGTGTAGGTCCCTCCCAGCGTTCTTCCGTATTATCAGGGATGACCACCTTTTCATGAGCTTAAGAGGGATCTAGTCTTACTGGTAGTATTCCCAAATGTGGAGTACGACTTGCTGCCGACGCGTCCCGGTGAGGTGGTCTCCCGTTGTCTTCGCATCCGCACCAAAATTTCTGGGTTTCCGGAAAAATCAGACGTCCTGGCCATAGGC